TCACATTAAAGGGACACTATAGTCCCCAGAACCACTGCAGCTTAATGTAGTGGTTCTGGTGTCTAGCCTGTCCCTGCAGGCCTTTTAATGTAAACATGGCGGCACTGCAGCACTGGTGTTAGTTAACATGGTAGATCATATGGGTGGGTCATTGTGATGGGATTCGGGGGGGGGGCAGCACTTTGGGCGGGCTGGGGGACCGGGGGGCCCAGACCTTGAGCTGTGTCAGGGGCCCCAACATTTCTGATGGCAGCCCTGGAGGCCATACTAGATTTAGTTTTAACAAATGGAGATTTGGTATCAGATATTACTGTAGGTGAAAGTTTAGGATCCAGTGATCATCAGTCAGTGTGGTTTAATATATAAATATATATATAGGCTCCCAGGAATAAATATATTAAACAGTGACTGAGTCACACCACACAAAAACAAAAGTTTACGACTTTAGAAAAACAGACTTTTCTAAAATTAGAATATGTGTAAAGGAGTCATTATCAGACTGGAGCAATTTAAATGGAGACCAAGAGAAATGGGATTATTTAAAATTTGCACTGCTGAAGGCAACAGAAAATTGCATTAGGCTTGTCAGTAAAAGCAAAACATTCAAGAAACCACTGTGGTACTCCGCAGATGTGGCCAAAATAGTAAAAAACTAAAAGTTAGCATTTAGTAATTATAAAAAAAAACCAGAGTGAGGAAGATAGACAGATCTATAAGATTAGACAGAAAGAGGCTAAGCAAGTTATAAGAGCTTCCAAATCACACACAGTAATCACACAGTCAGTAAAAAAAGGGACAAAACATTTTTTAGATACATAAATGAGAAAAGGAAAGTAAAACAAGGATTAGTTAGATTAAAAACAAAAGTAGGGGGCGGGGCCAAGACAGCAAGCTAAGCAGTCGCATGAAAGCTGGGCTCCCGCTTTACTTGCCGATTTTCCACAAATACTCATACAATCCGAGACAAAAAACAAACCAGAGAGCACTACCTACTTCAGGGGTGACCTGGTGACAAGCCTGATATCTTTCACAAGCATTTTGGAGATCGTGACCCTATGGCGGTTCAACGCAGCCTACTGATGATGGAACCGGGGAGAGGCGGCCGCTCTCCTCGCCCATATGTTGAAGGTACAGACCCACCGATGCCCTGCTCCCCCCCAAGACCGGCGGGGGTTATCCCAGTCAAATCCTGAGAGGCAACCCTCCTGCAAAGGCCCTAAAGGTGGAACCCGGCGGGCAGCGTGAAGAAGCAAAGCCAGGTAAAATGGCTCAGACCACAGAGAAGCCTGATCTCATGGCCAAGCTGGACGACCTATTCGACAAGTTCTGGCGAACATTAGCATCCAGGGAGCAAATGGCTAAGGCAAGTAAACCAGCCACACACATACCCACAGCCTTGCCACTGACCTCCCCACATGGGCGCACACCTCTCCGGGCAAACAGAGTCCGCACACGGCGCCGAAGATAGATAAGGCGAAGGGCCTGCAAACCCACACAACTGACACTACCAATGGCGGTGCTCCACCACAACAAACACCTGGCAAAATCTAACCTACCAGCAAGGCATGATACGGGGAGCCTGCAGCACCTACACCTTACTCCAAGCTGGGATCTGACACAGCTGAGGGGGCCCGGGCAGACCACATCAATTCTTCCTTACCACCATCATCCAGAGGCAGATCCCCACTCAGGCATACACCTGGGCATAACCCTGACACCAGCACGGGACAATGTAATCCCCCAGCGGGACATTGGCTGATATTGGTGCAGAATTGAGGCGCTTGCTACTCCTAAATGGACAGTGTCCTCTTGATAATCACAGATGCTGCAAGTAGTGGGGCAAACATGTTTACTCAGTTGCATATTTGGGGAATGTCGCTTAAACAATGCACGTAGTCTCTTGGGATATCTCATGTGCAGTTAAACCAGTGTTACTTTATCGTTGATTCCGCAGCATAACATAGCTCAGTCCAGCGGTGTTTGTGCCTTCGAGGAGCCGATTTTAGTTCCAGGCACTCGACGACCAAACACCGTCGGTATCTGAACGGCAGCCACGCTGCGAATCAATTAACCGAGTGCAGATACATTGTTGCAATCTGTTAATGGGAGCCACACGACCTCCTGTGTGTGGTCTCCCATTCGGGACTTTGTTCGTTTCACGAACAGTGTTGAAAGTCACTGTTCGTGAAACTACCATAGGAATGCTAGCGGCTTTCGCGCCACTAGCATACGAATGCCCTCTATAACCTTTTTAAGCGAACAACATAAAATACCATAGATTAAACAGGCTTTCCAGGACAACCATTATATATAAAGGAATAGTCTTAAGTGGCTAGGTTTGCCACAATGCTCCCCCAGAACCAAGCCAGCATACACAGTCTGATCCCAACGGATCGGCTTGGGGATGTCCGGAGGAGTACTCACAGATCACTTTTCAAGTTCAGTTTGTCTGGATAACCCATCGGCGTTGCCATTTTGCTTCCCAGGGCAGTAATGAATGGTAAAGTCGAAGGGCTGCAGCACCAAGCTCCAGCGCCGCAGCCTGGCATTGTCCCCAGCCACACGGTTCAGCCACACCAACGGGTTGTGATCTGTGAGTAAGGAAAAATGTTGTCCATATAAATAAGGCTGCAACTTTTTGAGGGCCCACTCAACGGCCAGGCATTCTTTCTCAATGGTGGCGTAGCTTACTTCTCCTGGTAATAACTTTCTGCTTAAGTAAGCTACGGGATGTTCTCCGCCATCTGCTCCAACTTGGCTCAGCACTGCTCCCAATCCAAACATTGAAGCGTCTGTGTGAACAAGAAATCGTTTAGTTGGATCAGGAGCAGCAAGTACAGGTGCATTGGTCAAAGCAGTTTTGAGTTGTTGAAATGCCTGATCACACTCTGGGGCCCAGATTTTGTTGTGTCAAGTCAGTGAGGAGTTTGGCCAAGGCACTGTAATTGGGTACAAACTTCGGGTAATACCCTGCGGTACTCAGGAAGGCTTACACTTGGTTTTTTTTCTGGGGGTAGGCCACTTAGCTACAGCCTCTATTTTGGTGGGTTTTTGTTGCCCACTCCCTACCCTGTGCCCAAGATATTGTACTTCCGCCATCCCTATGTGACACTTGCTGGATTTGAGGGTCAACCCTGCCTCTCCAATACGGTCAATGACAGCTCCAATATGTCTCAGATGATCTGACCACATCTGGCTATAGATGGCGATATCATCCAGGTATGCATATGCATACTCCTGAAACCCATCCAGTAGCCAATCTACCATCCTTTGAAAAGTAGCCGGAGTGTTTTTCATCCCGAATGGCATGACTCGAAACTGGTACAGGCCAAATGGGGTGACAAATGCTGACTTGGGGATGGCATCCTCGGCTAAAGGAATCTGCCAGTACCCCTTGCACAAGTCAATTGTAGTGAGGTCTCATGTCATCTTATCTAGCAGCTATTCTATCCGGGGCATCGGGTAGGCATCAGACACTGTTTTGTCATTTAGCCTCCGGTAGTCGATTCAGAAGCGTGTCGTGCCATCCTTCTTGGGTACTAGCACTACCGGCAATGCCCAGGGGCTATCGGAATGTTCAATAACCCCTAACTGCAACATCTCTTCAATCTCCTTCCGCATATGTTCCCTGACTGCTTCAGGGATACGATATGGAGTCTGGCGCATCGGTAGCTGTCCTAGGGTCTATACCCGGTGAGTGGCCAGCGGAGTGTACCCTGGTATAATGGAGAAAGTGGCTCCCTTAGCCGCAATTAACTCCTCTACCTGGGCACGCTCCTGAGGACTTAGCTGCTCCCCCAGCTGAACACCCGTGAAGTTCTCTGCCTGATCTTCTCGCTCTAATAAGTTGGGTAGCGGACGATTCTCCTGATCTTCAGAGGCTGGTGCGCATATAGCTGCCACCTCCTCTGTCCTCTCATGGTAGGATTTGAGCATATTCCCGTGGAGCATGCGTTTCTTCCCTACCCCTGAGCAGGGGCCAATCAGATAAGTGGTGTCACATCTCTGTTCCACCTCCTGGCATGGGCCCTGCCAGGTGGCCTGCAGCTTGTAATTGCGGACAGGTTTTTTTTTTTTTTTTTTTATTCTATATTTTGGTAGTGCATTATTCAGTACATAGCTTGGCATGAACATGTTATTAGATTGTGTTACAGAGTATCATGAGTAATAACGTTATACATGTTAAGATTGCTGCACATTTTTTTTTTTATATAAGACAAGAGAACAATAAGTGTTAATGAAATGGTTATATTCATTGCTTATAGAGGGAAACTAGTGTACTGTCATATGCTGCCTATTGAATTTGATTACAGGTGTCGAGGATTCAAGCTGGGTAATGCAACGAGGGGCTCTATACAACTTGCCAGCGGGTAGGTAGTCTAGGACATGAAATTAAACACGTATTCAAGGTGAGGTCGCTCATTAACGAAGCTCCTGGCACTAATCATCAGCTAGAGGATAGCTTAATTAGCATAGCAATATAGCGTGCAGTAGTAAGTATGAATATTTATAAATTAAAAAGGAAAAATTAAAACCACCGGTGATAGACCTGTCCTTATGCATGTCACTGTCCCCAAACTGCGTGGTCGTCAAGTCCGAGGCGGGGTCAGCCATCTTCATTGGGTGATGAGGTATGGAGGTCTGTGCATGAGAGTCTCATGGTGTGGGTGAGCCACTCGTTGGTTAGTAGTGTTTAGTTAACCGATGGGCTTTATTGCTTTGGCGTCGGCTTAAGTCAGTGGTTTGGTAGGTTTTCCGTAGGTGCAGCCAGTGGTTGCTTCAGTCGGCCTTTTTCCAGGCCCAGCCTCAGGGATATCAGGTGAGTGGTGCTTCCATGGGCTCCGTTCGCC